ACAGAGTGTTACGCTTTTGCTGATTGAATAGTCATGACCAAAATGGTTCATTTTATACAGATTGTTTTGAAGTATCATTACTATTATGGCTCATTTTAAGTTCAATTTTACAAACGCAACACCCTGTATACTATTTTAGTACTAAATTAATGATTTTAACTATCCAACGATACAAACATGTTAGGCTATTTATACATACCTATCACATCATGCGCAATTGATCGATAGTTATTTTATTATTGAAGAAACGAAGAAATTTTAAATACAAAAGTTGTTTCTACTTTTGACAACCATATTTTAAAATTATTTTTAAATATACAGGGTAATCCTTAAATAAAAAGTAAAGAAATTAAATTAATTAATAATTAGTGCTAAAAGTATAAGGTTTCCATTTGAAAAAAATCGAGAAAATCGTAACATCGTGTTTTAATAAACCCTCTGCATATATATCGTAGAAAACGAATGAAAATTACAAACTTTTTTATGAATTTGAGTAAATTACAATTATAAATTCGTCTATATTGAAACACATTTATTAATTACTCTAAATCAAAAGTGTATGCAAAAGTAACATTTCAAAAAATGTTAGTCATACATATATGCTGAAAGTATGAAATTACTACAGGGTGTTAGTAGATTCGACGGACAACGCTCTACCCCAGAGAACTCTCGTTAATTCATGAATTTTGATATAGAGACATGAGTTTAAATCAAAATTTGCCATGAATCAAAAACGCCTTAAAATAGTTTTTTTTTTAAATTTGGTGACCAATATGCTCTTTAAGAAACTAATATTTTGACATGAACTAACTTTTGAAGACTTTAATCAGTGGCGCGCTATCAGGGTTAGTGGGAACCTCCTATTCTTTACGCAACTGGAACAATTTTTTTTAAATTTTTTGTTCGTTGTGTAGATTAGATTAGTAGATTAGATTAGTTTCGAAAGGAGTTTGACATTATTTGTTTTTGTCCACTGCGACCTTCTCAGATCTATTGCGGGACTCCGTTATTTAGAGTATGTCGCCTACCTTGGTTAGACTTAGTAACTTTGACAGTTACATGTTTCTGGCTTTTCTTCACCTTGTGTTAGAAACCTTAACCTAGCCAGGCCTTCACACTACCACAGGACCTTGAATAATGTTTTTTTTTCTTCTTTACAGAACCTGCACAATGTTGCTTCTTCTGCTGGATTGATGACACTCATGTGCCTTCTTAGGCGACAGTGTCCGGCAAGAAGACCTACTGTTATCCTAACGATTTGTCGTTTTTGATCCAGTAGCTCTTTCGTGAACTTAGCCTAGTTCTTTAATGTTGTTTGGTCTGTCTCAGTCCTGCATAGTTATTCCACTATTCCTGATACTTTTTTTGAATCCACTGTTTGATGGATGACTTAAAAAATTCCTCAGCAACTCCACAGATGGGTTCAGGGCCTGTCATGGCATGAGATTTCTCGGGCTAGTTCGTCGGCCTTTTTATTGCCCTGGTACTGATATCCTTCATGGCCTGGTATCCAGGCTAAAGTCACTTTGTTTTGACAACACCTTGCAACTATTTTATTATCCATTTTTTATATAAGCAAGTTAGCTTAAATCGGCTTATTTTCGATTCCAGAAATTGGTGTTAAATTTATTGTACACCTTTTTGTTACACCCTGTATAGTTAAGAAATAAATGACATGGGGTCCCAGAACTACAAAATTGATAAGCAAAATAACTTTTGACAGTTGAGTGATATGTATTTTGTATAGTGACATCAAATTTGATGAAAATACATTTCTAAATAAAGTTATCTAGTTACCGATTGCGTAAAACCTTGCTGACACTTTAGAATTTTATAATTACTTTGTTGGACCAACAACAATACCGAGCCCTGCATGTCAGCGAAACGCAAACCTATTTATTTCCAAAACAAAGTTACATATTTCATGCGGCATTTACCTAGTCAGTTTATCTGATGGTTAGCTTTAGGGGGTTGTATAGCCCTCCCCTAACTCTTACATACTTTGGACACAGCATGAATACAAAAATGTGTTTTAAATGAGGGCAGTATGGCAGTCCCCGGAATTCCCTTGCAACGGGAGCTTTTGGATTTAGAGTAGGTCCATTTACAGGGATGACGTGCCACAGCCCAATTTGTTGTCCTAAAAATAAAACTCAGAATAACATAATTAGGCCATTTGTAAGACCCTTTCACTTTGAATAACCATTATTTTATAGAAAAATAAAATTACTAGATCCTAATACATCACTGATATTTATATTTATACAGGGTATTTCATTGAAAAACGGAGGTAATTCTAAATATAACACATTTAACCAGTCATGTAGCCTTTGTAACCGATTTTATTGATTTGGTTCATTTATTTCTAGGACCATAACTAACAAACCACTCAGAATACTTTTTGAATATCTACTATTCAAACAAATAACGTACTAGCAACAGGAAAAATCCAGGTGCAGATTAACAAAAAATCAATAGGTATATTTTTGTATATATCTGAATTTTTAAAATATATTTACATATTTGAAAATATATAAAATACAATGCATGTGATCAATCATTTATGAAAATTTATACGGATAATTATATCAATAACTACGCTTTTGTATTAGTTCTTGGGCATGACTGTAGTGAAGTGAACCATCCACACTCCTCACGAACTAATGCCAACTAGTAAAGTTCAAGACTCCTCCTAAGTATGGTAAGATTTGTCCAAGTAGTCCTTTTGTAAACAGGTCCGCTTCTATTTCTTTAGTCTGCATATATTCAACATTTATATTTACTTTTTGAATATATTCCCATACAAAATGAATTTTAGTATCACTCGGTACTAATTATTGGATTTATATTGAGTTGTTGTTCTGTCTGGTTATCGTTAAAGAGAATGATTGCTTCTTGCTTTATTCCAATACGTTCCAGAAGTGACTTTAAATGTAAAGCTTCTTTTGCAGCTTCCGTTTAAGATATATACTCGGCCTTAGTCGTCGACAAGGCTAGACACATTTGCTTTTTGGCCTTCCAACTGATGCAACTACTGATATTTGTTGGAAATGATTCAAAACAAATAATATAAATTGTTTAGTAAAATTTATATTGACAAGTATATCAAAAACTACGGCTTTATATTAGTTCTTGAGCATGACTGTAGAGAAGTGAACCATCCATAATCGTATACAGTTATGAAACATTGAAACTAGGTAAAATTAAATCGTAAGTAATCTAAAATGGAAATCAAACAAACGATATTTTTCGTTAAACAAATCGATTTTTTGGCCTTCACTATAAGAAAACATGTAACCACTATAACAAGACATGAAACTAACAATCTCCATTTTTAGTCCATAGCCATTTTCGATCAATTTAAAATAACCACCAATCGAACTAAAAATGGCGACATTATAACTATCTAAAATAAGGCATGAAACATAGGTGAAGGGATAAATAAAACTACCAAAAATAAAAAAAAATAGCCCAAAACTCAAAAAACCTAATTATTTCTTTAATTAGGACTTTAGTCAAAAAACTAAGATTTGGAATCGAAAGAGGACATCAAATATTAGTTAAAAAAAGCCCATTACGTCCCCTAGGATACGAAATTAATGCAAAATCTTAAAAATTGGTGAAGGTCAATAACACTAAAACACCCTAAAAAAAATCTAAATTAGCTATATCTTCTAAATTAGAACTCTAATCGAAAATCTAAGACTAGAAATGGACTCAGGAGATACGAAAGTAGTTAGAGGTGGCCCGCCATCTAATAAAATTCAAGACTCCTCCTAAAGTATGGTAAGTCTTGTCCAGATGGTCGTTTTGTAAACAGGTCCGCTTTTATTTCTTTAGTCTGCATGTATTGGACATTTATATTTTCGTTTTGTATGTATTCCTTAACAAAATGCATTTAATATCAATATGCCATGACTTAGATTTATGCTGAGTTATTGTGCCGTCTGGTTATCTTTAAAAAGAATGATTGCTTCTTGCTTTATTTCAATACGTTTCAGAAGTGACTTTAAATGTAAGGCTTCTTTTGCAGCTTCCGATAAAGATATATACTCGGCCTTAGCTGTCGACAAGACTAGACACATTTGCTTTTTGGCCACCCAAATGCTACTAGCCCAGACGTTTTATGAATAATAATGTAAATCTGAAATTTGGTAGAAATATGGTATTAATAACATACCAAAAGTTTTAAACCGTCCTATTCCGGCTTATTGATAAAAAATGGTATAGGTGGGTATTTCGGGTTTTATACAAGATATTATTATACATATCGGGTGTTGCAGCCACTGCACAACTTAATAGGTTTATATATCTTACTATTTATGTATTTTATCTCAATAATAATAGTTTTAGTCTAAACAGAAGTTTATTTATCGTGTGGAAAGAACTCAAAAGAGTAAAAGCAAAAAAATGTTACATGCAATATATTTACTTTCCTGTTTATATACAGATAAGGAAATTATAGGAATTATGATTTTTTCGAACTCGAGTTTGCGATGGATTTTTACATTTTATTTAATTTACTGGAGTATTGTTACTGCAGGTTTGACCCCTGCAATGTATGCACATCATTGAGCAATAAAGGCATGCAGTTCTACAGGAACACCGAGCCTCGCATTCAGATTTACACCCACATGGAGCAGTTCATTTGGCGCAGGGGATAAGAAGGTTGTAACAGGCACTTTTTCCTTGAATCTAAAACAGATTTTAAGTAATGAAATGAATCACGCAACAATTTTTATAAAAAAAAATATCGCCTACCTGCAATTATGTTCGCAGTGACACTTGTGGGCTGAAGCGTGGCCAATTCAAAGCTTGCAATTACAGCTATCCTGACAAGAGTACGAGTATATATCTTGCTTCGGAGTTCGTCCAAGCTAGAGTAGGTCTCAGAACCGTAAAGCTTACAATGCCAGATTGTTGACGCGTTATTAAAAACAGCAGCAAATTCCTGCATCTCTCTTTCTCCAAAAGTTTTAATTCTTTCTTCTTTCCTTTACCAAAAAGGATGATGTGGTATCACAGCCTGTAATTGCATGAACAAACATTAAGTAATCCTTCTTGAAGCCTATTTGATCTTGAATTTCCTTGATATTGCATATTTTATTCTCGTATCCAACAGAAATCACAACCTGAATATTTGTATTATTGCCGGCTCTATTTAGCAACATAATAATTATATCAGTATCTGTGATCACAACCGTGACTTTCTGGCCGTTGTTAACTTTCTCCAGAGTTATATCGACGATCATGGTATCCGCATCTGCTGGTGCCTGTTTTATTTCTAGTTCTTTAGCCAAAAAAGTGTTGGTCAACAGACTAATTAGCCTAGATTTGTTTTTTTCAGTTACTAAGAAATCAGCTCGTGAGACAAAGACTGTAGTGTTACTATCTGTGGATGAGTTTCGAGAGGTTCGGCGCCTTTGCTCTTCTGCTTTTGTAGACAAAACACGTCCGTAACCATCAAACACAACTACATTTTTAAATGTGTACAGAAATGTTGTGCGACATAATTCGTGTATCATCTAAATGTTGCTGGTTCAAGCGAAGCCAAAGCTCGTAGAATATAGCCCCCGTCTATAACAACTACAGAAGATGAGAAATTTGTTTAATCCAAAAAGAGCAAAAGACTTTTAAAAGTATATACTTGGCCGTTTTTCTCATAGACACCTCATTAAAAAGTACAGGTGGCCTTGGGGACGTTTCATACTTAAGGTATTGCATAAGGTTTCCAGAATTGTTGTTTATTGCTCAAGCTATCCACATGAAAAGTTGTTATGAATTTACTAGTACGACTTCGTTTCTATTAATTACTTTGGAATTAACTGCTGCCAATGCAAGTACTTTAATCCCATATGAAAAAGACAGTAGGGAACTGAATTCTTGCCAAGGAAAGCGGTTCGACGGCCCACTTTATAAAAAATTTTTAAGTGTTTTGCATCCACTAATCGCCTTGAATCTCTAAGTTCAACGTGTTGTTCTGTTGAAGTTCCAGTAACACCAGCCGTTTTAAAGACTGTGCGATTGCCATATATGTTGAACTACGAGAGCAAAATTTCAGTTAAAAGAATATGAACTCAGTAGGTAATTATTCGTGTACCAATACTTCTCTTTGTTTGTCCAATATACACTTTTCCACAAGTGCATGAAATTCTGTGGTTTAGGAAATTCTGGAGTTCTTTTCTCCCGTGGCTCCAGATTACAAATGTGTCACCTACATCCCTCAGCCAATGCTTTGGTTCTTTTTCAGCAGTGCGGATAGCTCCCTCTTCAAATTTTTCCATGTAAAAATTGGCCACGACTGGAATGAGTGGGCTGCGTCAATTTGTTTATAGAATGTTTGATTCAACTGAAAATATGATGTAGGGAGCGAGTGTTGGAAGAGGTTGATGAGCTCTGGAAAAAACTCCCCTATGTATCTGACTACCTCTTCGAGTAACACATTTGTAAATAAAGAGATGAAGTCAAAGCTCACTAGGATGTCGTTAGGCTCTAAGGTGATACTTTTTTGATAAAGTGCGTAGAACCTCGCATGTAGGTTTTTGTCTTGCTCACGTGTGCTTATAGAATTTCCGCCAGATGTTTGTCCAGTTTGTAAGTTGGTGATTCTATGGCACTTGATATTGGTCTTAGTGGTACATTATTTTTGTGAATTTTTGGTACTCCATATAGTCTTGGTGATAGAGCTTCAGTAGTGCAAATTTTCTTCTTTGTCTCAGGTGGTAGTGACGACTGTTTTATTAATTTGGTAGTTTTTCTTAAAATATTATCTGTTCGGTCTCTCGATAATTTCTTGTATGTGTCTTGATTGAACAGATCATTAAGCTGGAACCTGTAATCCAATGTGTTCATGACGAGTGTTGCATTTCCTTTGTCGGTCTTTCAGAATTATGATGTTTTTATTCTCATTGAGACTTCTTATAGCTGCCTTCTCGCCTTTTGAAATATTACTTTTTTGTGGTTTGGCTTTCCGTAGAATTTTTACAGATTTACTGTGTACCTCTTCTTTGACATCAAGAGGTAATTTTTCAATTCCGGTTTCTATATTGACAATGACATGTTGGTACTAACTAAAATATTCCTACCGATTGTTAGATTTACATTGTTTATTTCTAGGTTTTGGTGAATGTAATCTAATATATCTTTTATTTTACTTATAATAATATGACAAATAATTATGGATTTATATTAGTTCTTGGACGTTAGAGTAGTGAACCATTCATAATATAATAAATGGCTTTTTTAGAGATTTTTAGTTCTCTCAAATACGACAGTGGCATTATTTTGGAGTTACTGCAGAATTTATTTATTTACGGGTATTCTTGAAGACAAGAGTCTTACTAATACAAAATAATATTGTATATCAAATATTTAAGGACTTCACGTTTCTTTTATCTAGTAGTACAGTATGTTCTAGGTTGTCGGTATTTTATTAGCAAATCAACATTGCTTCTTTATCTACATCATTTGCAACCGACGATAAGCTCGATTACGATAAGTGTATTCTTAATAACCGACTCATTAATAATTGTTAAACTACATACTTGTTTTTCATTTCTGCATACCGCACAAAATTGCAGACAGATATTAACTATACAGAGTGACAATTTGAGAACTTACAATGGCTATATCTCATAAACTATGCCCTCCATAAGATGAATTAAAGCTTAAGATTAAAACTCGGACATCTTCGCGAAAATTGTTATAACGGATTCAGGGAATAATGACACTTAATAATAGCCAAATAGAATTTAAAAACAATTAGTAGGCACAATAATTTACCTTCCTCTTTTTTTTATCAAATTGATCCCTATTCTTTTTACTATAGATCCCTACGATGCCTTTTTAAACTCGAGGGCTTCCACCTAAAAAAATACATATTCTTGCATAAAAAATCTACCGGATCCAATTTTAGAGTTAATCCGGAATTGCGACATTGGCAAAAAAGGCAATTTTCCAAAAAAAAACAACATTTTTCAATACAAATCTATCTTCAACATATCTGTTCATGTTCATAACTGTTCATCAATTTTAAAACAATATTATTCAAACCTTCTAGAAGAAGCCTAAGATAGGAAACATAATGGATATTTAATATTTTAAATTCCGTTGTCTCTAATTTTATACTTGATACTATTCTATCATGCTGAAAATGAAAATGAAATAGACATATTGCTATATAAAAGAATAACGATATATGAAGGAAATAAATTTCCCTTTCTCAAATGTGACCAATTTAAAATGGAAAAACAAAGTCGAGCAACTACTCCCTTGACTAATATAGCAACAGGCATTTCATTATATCAAAAGGAAGATAGTTTTAACACTTTAGCTTTTATTTTGCTTCTTAAGGAGATCGTAATTTTTGGACCAATTTCGAACTTATTAAGACTCATCAGCAAGAATTGGACAATCTCGACTTCAGACTCTAATGAAGTTTGCTTGATGTTTTACCTTCACTCGTATACATTAAAGGTGGTTGAGAAAATGTAGATATTAAACGAGTAAAAACTGGTAACGCCATCTGCACTGTGACACGGGCTTTTAGATTTTTCTTTTCTTTGTTTTTCACAAAGACATATTTTTAATAATATTAAATCTAACATTTTTAAAGTAAATTATTAACTATAAATTTATTTTTGTATGTCATTCATCATGCCTAACCTCTGATAACCAAATCAGGCTAAATCAGGAATGAAAAGAATTTTACAACTCTTTTGAATTTGATAAATTTGATGCCTGATTATGGATTTCCAAGTTAGGTATGCGGAACTTTTTATAAAAAACAATTTGTTTTTTAGCTATACCTAGATACGTGTGTCTTTTTATCCAAAGGTTGCAACAACATTGGCATCGGTGCGGTATCTATCTGTCTTTTTTTCATCAATCCGTCAATGACGAACTAACAGCGCTGTCTTTTTATCCAACGTTGGTACAATCGATGCAACACCAATCCATCAGTTTCAATGTATGGTTTGTCCGATTAGATGTGACAACTGACATCTGGATTGCGAGAATTAAGAAAAATTAAGAAGTTAATTATGTAAATGTTCTATTGTGGAAAAAAACGAAAAAATGGGCTTCTAAAAATCCATACTTTCAAATTAAGGCATACAAGTACATTCAAATAAAATTACAAACAGAACTGTTATTTATTACAACGGTCAACCATAAATAAACCGAATCCAGCACAAGGCGTTCAAGGTCGCATCGGTAAAACAGCGATTCAAACAAACAGATGGAAAAAAGGCACACGTTATTTGTGATTTTTCGCTACTTTTTTCTTGGTTTGTGCTTGATCTGATTAGATTTCTAGGTACATCAAGCATGTTGCAGGGAATGAACTGCTTGAATCTAAAATCTTTTTTTCTAACAATAATAATATAATAATACTCTCCCTAACTCACCCCCTTACGAGTTAATTTTAACCCCTGAAGTTGACTGAACGACTTGTGTAGGGGAAGGGACGGATATTATTATTATTTGCCTTACAGGTGAGGAAAACCCGGAAAACCTCACCCACCATCATCGAGACGGTAACGCATGGCGATTTTATAATCTGCATGTCATATCAACAGAAATTGAATTTCTACTAATATGGCACACATCAAATCCTATAACGAAGCATGCAATTTAATTAAAAATCCACATGATCTGGTGTAGGATTCAAAGCCCACAAACTTGTCTATAAATGAATATAAGCGTGTGAGACCGCTACTCCACCGACTCGAATATGATATAGTCGTACCCTGTACCTAGCTAATAGATTTACTTTTTCTAAAATTTTAGGTGTTATGGATTCTTCCTTAACCAATTTTGTAGTATTTACGTTTGCCTACAATTATCACCCAGTACAAAATAATATTTTTAAATTATATTTTTAGTTTGATTAAGAATATTATTATTACCCAGAAGTTAGTTTTGTAAATCTCTTTTATTATAATTTGGTGTAAAAGGTAGAGAGTCATTAGGTTAAATGTATCTTCTCGTTTACAACGATTTATCCACCATTCTTTTTTTTTATTGTAGTTGATACTTAAATCATTTTGTTTTCGGTAATGAATTAAATATTAATTTTACACCAGGCATTGCAATCTGAAACAATAGACAATGAATTAGAAAATATTTATCTATTTTACTGAGAAAACTTACCAAACCTATTCAAACGCACAAATAGTTTATAAATTCTCTAAACCAGGGGTTCCCAAAGTGATCGATACTGACCCCTTGGGGACAAAAAGAAACCGTTTGAAAATCAGCGAACACGGAGATTTAAGACCACAGTACCACCCCCAATATTCGTAACATCATTTTATACAATGGTAACATGAACTAATTTTGATAGATGTCATTTATGTTTCATAAATTAAGAATCCTTTTGTTCAGCAGATGGAGCAATATTCCATATTTAATAGTTCTTTTGTTCAACAGATGGCGTAATAATTTTATTAATTTTAAACGGTAACTGTTATAAAATAACAAAATCATCACGCCTAGCTACTACGCGATAATAAGTAAACGAGTT